TTTCAAATATATATTAATGACCTTACAAGCATTGAAACACTCACACTATTTAATATAAGAGATTAAGAAGTTTAAAGAGAAGAACTTGTCACTATACAAGCCGAAAAAAGACCAGTGTAATACTTGTTTTTCGTTTAAATATGGAAATATTTCCGAAGACGAATATCAGTTGCATATAAAAAGGAAAGATCTTGCGAGACAAGCTAAGAATACTGATAAAGAGGAAGCGGAAAAAGGCAATCTAATAGTCATTACAAAGAATCTGCAGGCAGTCAAGTTATGTCCTTTTCTTCCCGCTAATAAAATCTATTTCAAAACAAAACTCTGTTGTCACAATTTTACAGTGTATGACCTTAGGATAAAAGATGCCCTCTGTTACTGGTTCTCTGAAGACCAGAATAATATAATGACAGAATCAACATTCACAAGTTGCATTATGCATTACTTGAAGACATATTGCTTAACTGATTCTAAAACACCAATCGTGATGTTCTCCGATGGATGTGGATATCAGAACAAAAAACAGTGTTTTAGCTAATGCACTATTAAATTTTGCTGTGAGATAAAATATCTTTATTTTAAATACACTAAAAATTTCTTGAGCCGGGTCACACTCAGATGGAGTGTGATTCAGTACATAGCATTATAGAAAGATGTCTTAGGCATAGAGAAATCCATTTGCCTAGCGATTATGAGTCAGTAACAAAGTAAGCGAGCAAAACTTCTGCCCCTTACAAAACTCGACTGCTGGAATCTTCATTTTTCAAAGATTTCTCCTCCTCTAAGTATTTAAGATGATCATCTATTAAGCCTGGAAGAAAAACCAACGATCCAGTAATCAATGACATCAAGAGTATTCCATATGATCCATGCGGCACTATAAGAGTAAAACTAGATTATGAGGATGAATACAAAGATCTCCCATGTTGACCAAAAACTATGCCAACAATATTGGAATATCCTAAACTGTTACAAGGACCATGCAAAATTAAGTCTAAAAAGTGGCAACATCTGCAGGAGTTCTTCCCAAAGATACGCATGCATTTTACGATGTACTTCTACATGAATAATTTTGCAGTTCCGAATCATTATTTTAAAAAACATGTGTGCATATTTAACAAAATACCCTAAAACAAACTTGTTTTTGATATTTTTTTTTGTTTTAAATTGTAAGAAATAATTTTTTAAGTTTGAAAAGAAAAGTTAGCAATGTTTTTTATTATATCATTTTCTCCTATAGGCAAAATAAAGTGTTGTAAAATATCCTATTTGACAATATTTAAGAATCAATATATCCTAAGTATCCTAATAAATACATAATTTAACAATTCTAATATTTTATTTCAAAACAACGTTATAACTTATATTATTTAAACCACTAACTTAAAAAATAACAAAAAAGTCCCTACAGTAACGATTTAATCAGTTTTTTGTGTCTCCTAAAAAAAGTGTTTGACATCACTTAGGAGGTATTGCCAGGTCACCAGCGATATGCAGCCTGTATACACTAAATAATTATCTGGAAGCTCGTTAGTCATTTTTGGAACTGGTTTGATTTAAAAAAATATACAGTTTAGCTTAAAAGTCCTTGTGATGATTAAATTCACTACCGTTAACATCCTTCTGATAAATAGTTTTAATTTATTTACTTTACTATTCTGTTACAAATATACTATTAAACAAATTAAATATTATGTGTGTCTGTTTAGTTATTAAATGAATTTAAGAAGTGATTTTTTAAATTTCAATGGATGCAAGTTTCCAATTTAGCAATTTTTTCATTACTAACACAATTCTAAACAATATTGTCAATCTCATGGTATACTGTCAATCTCATGATAATGTGATAGTGATACAATAAATAATTTATATTGGTTCTTCTTAAAAATGGATGCTTAATATAATCAGACAGGCAGACTAATACCGGTAATTGTTTTATATGCAGTTAAAAGGAAAAACTTATCAACTGTATGAAGTAACCATCAAACATGTTACAACATAAAGGTGATCTGAAGGATTTTTTGATTCCATCCAACTGACTTTTCATGTTTTTATATCCAAAAAATTACAGAATTATTATATCAAGTAAATAATTAACAACAGTCATGGCTGACCATTGGAAGACACAATAAATATAACCTATACCCATACACACTTCCATTTTTCTCTAATTACCTACCAAAATTCACTGACAGATTTTTTATTTATAAAACAGTCTTTAAAGCCTTTAACTAAATCTTTATACTTATACCATGTTAAATTTTCTAACTGTTCTGTATCAGAATGAACTTTATTAAATAAATTTATACTATTACTAGAATCTTCAAAAACTGCTAAATTCTTACAACAATTTTCATCTGGTTGTACATCTGAATATAAAGATATTTGAATATGTTTTGTTTTGGAAGAAAAACTAAGGGGTGCTGTTGGTAAGAAAGAAGTTGAATGTTTTTCTGCATCTTCATCTGACTCTTTACCATCCTTTATTAAATATATGTAAATATTTGTACATGATATGGATGCATCAATTTTATCCAGCCAGTCTTGGGAAAGAAATATATTCCTAAAAAAAATAGATTGTGATGTAGTGCCTACAAATATTTTAAATTAGGTGATTATATAAAATATATTCATATTAATCAAATTACAGCTAAGCATGGACGTATAAATAAAGATAAGGTAATTGAGGTACTCAATTTTATTCAATGATCAATAGAAGTTTCAATTTTCACTTATAAGAGTCTATTCTAGAGTCTTGTAAGATCTATTCTGGTATATTGTTTTGAGGATCCTTGACACTATACTTCCTAATACAGTAGCACCTCTATAAGTTAAACTTCTAGAAAGACACCAAAATATTTGAGATATCGTTTTTGATTCATGAAGGATTTCGACTTAAGGAGGATTAACAGAAATTTTGATTTGACATACTTACTAATTTTGAGTTTAAGGGGTAAAACAAATAAAAATTCAAGTTATAGAGCTACCAAACATTTTTATTTATATCAACATTATTTCAAAAGACCCTTAACATATGTGACATTAAAAAAAGTCAAGGCATTTTTTTACTTTAGAGAATTCTGTTGTTCCCTACCTATAGCATGGAGCGCATGTCTTTAGAGGCAGTATTCATGTCTTATATGTTATCTTAATCATTAGTATCTGTTTTATGTGCTAATGAATCAATAATTTTGTCATCAGATAATATCCTAGCAGTTGTAACTCACGCACATGCACTTTTTATACAAACTTTTTTAAAAACAAGTTCCCGACTTCTTTCCTTTCGAACTTCTATAACCATCTATTACTGGTTCTCAAATTAGACACTCCCAATGATTTAGAGGATTTTTCAGCTTTTCTTGTAACAGTGGTCTAATAATACTGATATTTTGCCACCTGTCATCTTTTTCTGGGCAAATTTTGATCATTTTCATTTTTTTTTCCTGGTATGATTAATTTTTTATTATTGTTGGCAAAATACTCATTGGTGGGTCAAATTATTCAGCAACATCTTTCTTTTTTTGACAGCTCTTCAGAGCTTCTTTTAACTGTTCAGCAAGATTTAAATTTTTTAGTTTACATTTCACATCATGTTTTAACCATTTTATTTGTAAGCTGATGTATGAATTGATGTGTATTGCAGTAGAATCAAACTACTTCTGACAATTTTTCAATCAACAGCAAATGATTTGCTTTAAGTCCCCTCTTCTCTACAAAGTAGTTTGTGAATGTACCTTTATCTTTCATTCCATTATAATTTATACTCTCCTTATTTTAAATGTACATACCAACTCCATACAAGACTTCCAGATAAGATTATGAAGTTGGTAGATGCGCTTAAAAGAAGGAGACTATTTACAAATTGTATTGTTTAGCATTTTGTATATGAATAAAAAATACTTACCTCAAGATCTTTTGTTGATATTTGTTCAATTGATTTATATGATTCCTTTCATTATGCCCCTCAATGAGAGAAGATACAGAAATAGTGAACACTTCACTTGGCGTCACTGGTGTTGTCCCCAATACAAATAATACCTTTTTCAGACTTTTATTAAAATGAATAAATTCATTTTTAATATCAGTCATCACCGCTTCTAGAACATCAAAAGCTTTAGAGACAGACCTGAAATGATGTTCTGCCTTAAAATTAGTTCTTCCATTTATTTCGATATCAGACTTTTCTCGTTTCTTTGTCACTATGTTTTTCATCCAGTTATAGGGATAAGGAATTTGGCACTTTTGGTAAAGAACCCCTTTTAGTACTTCATTGACTATGGATGCACAGGCAAATGGTGTTAAAACAATATCTGTAACATTTACGCTGATATTAGACACATCATCAATACGACTTTCTGTCTTCATTTTAAAAATAATTTAAACTAGTTTGTATACTATTTAGTATTAGCAGCTATTGGTTTAAAATTTTAAACTAAATTTTCTGTTAACTAACTGATTAAAGTTAAGGTTAAATCAAATGTCAAAAGTCAAATGTCTAGGAAATTTTTAGGTCCATTTTTGGCATTGTTGACTTTGACTTTTGTGATTCTATCAACACTGGTATAGTGCTTCCGAATCCGAATTATACTTCTGCCACTTCTGCTTCTCTTATCATAATCACTACTTTTACAATTTTCACCCTATCAGTTCCCCTTTTTGTATATACCTAAATATTAGATACCCAAGTTTTCAAGCTGCGTAAATCCCCTAGTATGTTGGGTATTCTTACAATTACAAATTTAAATTATGTAAATTTAAAAGAGTAGCTAAGCTACATATTTAATTAAGAAATATTTAACACGTTTTGTTTGATTTATTTGATAATTAAAAACATAGTTTTAAAATTATTATAAAAAGATAGAATATTTTTTTCTAAAAAATAGCTCGCTTTTGTCATTGGTCATTGTAAATGTCATCATCAGCTGTGTGTAGGAGGTGTATTTTTGAAGTTGTTATTAAACTATTGTAAATTATTTAAATAACCAAAATATTGTTCAATTATGGTATCTGTTCATGATAAATGGATAAGAATTTTTGATGTACCAGATGTTCGAAAACACAAGAAGGGTTTTACAATATACAAAGTGGTTTCTATGGTAACTATAAACCTTTTGAGGTATAACTGATAAACTGTCAGACACAGTAAAGCTTTAGGTGAAATGTTTACACATTAAATATGTAAATACTTTGTAACAATAATATGGTAAAAAACATATAAAAATAAAGGTAATAAACACTAAAAATTGGACTGAAAAAAAAATAATAGTCTCTTAGTTTAATAAACAAATACATTGATTCTTGTTATAATTTACTGGTATACATTTCAGATTTGTAGAGGTCCTACATTTTTGCTACAATAGTACCATAATCACTTCAAACAGTTACATTTAAAGTTGTTGTTGTTTGTTTGTGTTTAAATGACTGCGGACACTAAATCCATTCGCCAATCTTACAATTTGTATACATTTAAAGTAAATTACAAGAAATTAATATTAGTTTTTTTTAATTACATTCAAAAACAGAATTTCATAATAATAACAAGAGTTGCAATAGATATGGGTATAATTTTAATACACTTACCATAACTTGTGTTCATTTCCAACAGTAATTTTCTTGGGGATACCCAGCTACTCCTTGTGACTGTGTACTAGTGACAGGTGAAAAGTAGTGAAAACACATTGTATGTGTTCAGGAACAAATGATGAATTACATTTTCTTCTTAAAAGTGGTAAAAACTAAGGCTACACACATAGACTAAGTACATTCAGCATCTTAGTAAATTGTTATGCTAACCTGTAAAGTTCTTTTTATAAACACTATAAGTAAAACAAATCTGACATAACTTAATCAAAGGATATGCATTAACATTCTTCACCTCCCAATATTTTTTGGGTTTCTGCGGCTCTTGTAAATTTTGATACAAAACTTATGCAATCATTTGTTATGTGCATCTTATGGATTCTGCCAACTTTGTTTTATATATTTTTTTATTTCACCTACATAAAATACATTTTGCTGTGTATGATACCAGGATACATAGTATAATAAATACTACAGTAATAGTAATTTAAGAATACTATTTCAGTTATATCCAGAGAATTGTCCAGATGCTGTGACAAGGGTTATTGTTTGGAAGAGATTTAATGACTTTAGGAAACTACATAAAGAATTAAAATCCTTGTATAAAAAGTTGACCAAAAACAAGGATTTTCCAAGTTTATCTGCTAAAACTGTATTAAAAAGGTTAGTTACCCATACATTTTTGTTACTTATTTCTATACTAGCTCTTTCAATATTGATTTTGTTGGCTTGTCTGCAAGTATAGTGAGTATTAATTTTATAATTGAGATGTAATTTCAAATATTGTAATATATATATATATATATATATATATATATATATATATATATATATATTCAAATATTTGGGTGTGCAGTGGAAGATAGGACAAAGAAGTACACCTCCTTTTTTTTGAAAAGAAAAAGAAAAAATTGTTTCTTGAGATGGCTTTCATTTTTCAAAAAAAAAGAAACCATTAACAAAAAGACAGATACCAATAATTTAAGCAACTTATATTCATTATTGTTAACTTTAGATAAACATGAATCTACTAATACAGACAATTCATCGTCAACAATGTAAGTTTCATTATATATGAGATATATAATATCTTTCCTACTTCTAAAATACTTAAGTCTTTTTGTCTTTTCTTTTTTAAGAAGCTCAGCTTCTATCAGATATACTATTACCCTTACATCGTTATCATTTAAGATCTAACATTCTGTTGTTTTAAGTTGGTAGCAACAAATTCACAACCAATCCTTTTGTTTCTGATAAGAATATTTATAACCAAAAAATTTTATATTGTGACTACTTAAATACATGTTTTGTAATTACTTTAACATAATTTTATTTAAATTAACATAACTTTATTTAAAGAAGGTTTTTTAAAATAAATTTTTGGATAGTTTTTGCCATCGTTTGTAGGGGTCAAATGAGTTGCCCATTTAATTTGATAAACATCAAGACAGCTAACCTCAATTGCTAAAGTGTAAGATGCAAAGTAATTCTTACTCTGTAATTTGTACTAATTCTGTTTATATATATATATATATATATATATATATATATATATATATATATATATATATATATATATGTCTTCAATAAATATAATATGTCTATAAATTCAACAAATAAAAGATTACAATACAACTGCACAGAGTATCACTATGTCTTGACCATCCTGGTTTAAAATCAACCTTTATTGAAATGCAATTCCCAAAACCATTATTATTATTAAGGTACTTTTTTCCCCCAATATAAATAATCTAAATTGTCAAATCTAGTCATTTTCCAGTCTGCTGCTGAAGAAGATCACTTCTATTCATCATAAGATCCCTTTTTTAAGAATTATGAAAAGATACATTTTATGATGATTTAAGATGAATATGATTAACTAAACATTAATTTTACATTCTATTGATATACCTGGAACACTTAAAAATAAATTAAAATTAAAATAAATTAAAAACAATGTTGCTTAAATATACTTTTTTATATAGTGAATTATATCAAACGAAATACCACTTAAGAATTACCACAACTGATAATTTTATATTTATTTTTAAAGTCTGTCTTACACATTTTACAAAAGCTATTATTGAACTTTTTTCTATATCTGGAAAAATTATCAGTGTGTGTCTGAGACTTAAAGTGTAATATTAGGTACTACTTTTTGCAGCAACACAATTAATTAGTCTAATGAAAACAAAAAAATGTTTAAAACAGTTCCAATAGTAGTAGTTTTTCAAAAAATCGACTAATGAAACAAGTTTTGACAGCATCAAGTAGATAAGGGATTTTCTGAACAAAAGGGTATCATCCCCAGTATAAACTGGTTTTAGATTTCAGCAATTCATATTTTGTGGTTAACTGGTGTTTGCCTAATTCACACCAGCATATTAACTTCTCCAAATGTTTTAATTATATAGTGGATAAGAACAGTCATGTACTAACCACAGTTGCTCACATATATTAAGTGGAACCTCTTCTAATGATATTGGTAACTGATTCGCAATAATATCTTACCATTTAAGTTATCTTCAAAAAATATGGTCCTACTACATGGCTACTTATGCTAATGTCCCACACATTTAGCGACCCTCATGTTTAACTGTGTGCTACTATGTTGTATTGGTTACTTGTTGAAAAGCAGTGAAAGTTATGCCAATTAACTGAACCATTTTAATGAAATATATTTATTATTAATTATTTATATATGGCATCCATTTACTAACAATTTTTACACAGTTACATCTTAAAAACAATAAATTATTAAAATAACAATAACAAGTTTTACAAAGTTACACCTTAACAACAATAAAATATTAAAATAACAAACTCCTCAAATAATACAAACATATAAGAATAATACAGAACTACAACAAACTTATTGAAAGATACTTTTTAGTTGTTTTTTTAAACAAACTAATTTTGGAGTCAAAAATAACCATGTGTCTTTGTAGGCTATTAGCACTCCATGGCCAATCATCTAGTTGGTTCATTGATACCATAATTAGTGTGGTGAATTGGCACTGCAAATATTTCTGATTGTCTGTTGCTTCTACTAGGAACTTTAAGATTAACAAGCGATAAGAGTTAAGGACAATCTATAAAAGCATTGATACCTTTGTTTAAGAAACATAAAACTAACAATGTCCTCCTTGACTCAAGTGTTGGTAAGTTAAGACTATCTCTTACCCACTGATAGTCCTATTCCTTTCTCCTGCATCTACTCTTATAGGCTGCTACCGTCAAAAATTTATTCTGAACTCTTTCAATCTGTTGAATGTAACACTTGTATGATGGGGACCATACTTCTTCCTATTTGGGTGCCGTCTTCTTAGGGAAGGTTGGCAATAACCTCTGCAGTCTTCCCTATTTTGGGCTTCCCTTATTAAACTTTGAAAGTCTAATCCTGTCCAATCTTTGATGTTGCGCAGCCAGGTCATTTGTCGTCTACCTTCTATTTTCCCTTCTATAATAAGCTGTAGGAAGTTATACCTGTCGTGCCTAAATGTGTGTCCAAGATAAGACGTTTTACGCTTCTTGACAATTTCTGTGAGTTCACGTTCTCTATTCATACGCATTAAAACTTCTTCATTTCTAACGCGGTCTCAAAGCTCTCCAAACGTCGTAACGAGCTGACTGTTAATGTACAAGCTTCCACTAATAGTACACTATATACATAACACTTAATCATGCGGTATTGTAGGGACAAATCAAGATTACGGGTAGTGAGTAACTGTCGTATCTTTAAGAAGGTGTTTCTTGCCTGTTCTATTCTACATTTAACCTCTTGTTCTTGGTCTAAGGTTTCATGTATCCAACAGCCTAGATACTTAAACTTTTTCACTTGTTCAACTAGATTTTTGTTGAGTAGTATGTTTATAACTGGTGTGTGTTTTTTTAAAATCACCATTGTTTTGGTTTTTTTACATTCACCTTAAGGCCGTATAGTTCTCCTTCTCGTACTACTTTGGTTAACAGAATTTGTAGTTCTTCTTCATTGCCAGCAATCAGTACTGTATCATCGGCATACCTGATATTGTTCACGGTTTTTCCATTGATTTTTATTCCTTCTTGTGCTTCATCCAGAGCATGTGCAAAGATGTCCTCTAAGTACAAGTTGAATAATAATGGTGATAGTATACAACCTTGTCTTGGGGACCATACAACTGATCCAAACTCCAGAATGTGCCTAACGAGACCACAAAAAAGTTTTCTAAATATAAACAAAGACAGGTCCACAGATGTACGTTGGATAAATCCCAGCACTTTCATCGCCCTGTGTGTTACTTGGTTGATGTGGCTTGAGAATGACAGTCTGGTGTCCCAAATCTGATCTGATACTTCATTTTTCGAGGCTAATGTCAAGTTATTCATTTAGTAAACAAATATAATGGGATTTCTTTGCCTCGAAAATATTATTTCATGACATTTGTTTATATTGAGTAATATTTTGTTCAAAGTGCACCAATCTTAACGATTTAAGATCTTCCTGTAATATAGCAGCATCATTTCAGGATTGAATTTTTCTAAACAATTTTACATTGTCAGCAAACATAAGAACACTACAATTTTTTATTTGTTGTACTAAATCAACCAGAAACAAGCAAAGCAAAACAGCTCCGAAACCTTCGTCAATGGACTGGCTTATCATCAGATGAATTATTACATGCCGCGCAAGATCGAGAACGATATCGGCAAATCGATGGAAGCTACCCACGCCTAAAACTTGGGCACGGTACTCAAAGAAGAAGAAGGTGAGGAGATTCGGAAATTTATCGGAGTGTTGATGTACATGTCGATTTATCGATACCCTAATCTCCAGAGTTACTGGAGTAAAAACGCGTTTGTCTCCCATCCAGAAGACAATACCTGTAAAAAAGTTTATGGACATAAAGAAACACTTATCGTTTCAAGATGAAAGGCAGCGCATTCGAAAAGGTCAGCCGGGCTATGATCCACTGTTTCACATCCAGAAATTGGCTGATAAGGTCAACGATAGTTTCGATTCGATTCCAAAGACGGCTAGATTGTGTGTTGATGAGCAGATGTGTTCGACCAAACTCAAGCATTGTCTTCAAATATTTATTACACTGTTTCTGCTCTGTGATTCCCAGGGTTACGCATATACTTTTAAAATTTACAACGGTGACTTGCTGGTTTGTTGGAATCTTGCTGGTTAGAGGGTTAACATGAAATTTAAATTTTGGGTTTGAGCAACAAGTATTTAAATTTAAAACTTTTATATTACAAACGATTGCACGTCACGGGAAATGCTTCCACGAAGATGATATTGGATTGAATTTGTAGCTGAAGTTGTGTACTTTCAGAAAACGTACTTGTTTAATCGAAAAGAAGCAGTACCATTTTAGATCGTTTTTAATGTGAAAGTTTAAATTCTGCGTGTTTAGGGCCAGTGGCGGCTCGTGGCTTGAGAGATAAGGTCGGCAAGGTATTTTTTGTCTCCTCGGATAGGTATACCGTCTAATAAAGACTTCAATCATCATAGGAGATTTTTTGTTTTTTGGTTTTTTTTTGTTTTTTCCTATAAATTTAGAACCTAAACATGTTTATAAATTAACTCTAGTCTACGTTGTTTGGAAGTAGTAAAATGGGTAAAAACGTCATCGTAAAATTTATTAGAGTTTTGGAGAGATTTTAAAAGTTTTTTT